ACTACAGTATATATATATTTTTTTACCATAGTCCCACAGACTTCTTGGGATGTGGGTGCCTTGGAGGGTATGTGTGTGTATGAGCTAGTGGTCACAAACTGACCTTGAATGAATGTAAATTGTTCAAATGATATAATTAACACGAAAGTTTAGTGGTACAGCTACCAGTATAATCCTGAAATCTAATATGTTATGGGCATATTATAGAAGAGTTTGTGAAAAGCAGGTAACTATGCAGAGGAAACGAAGTTAAAAAACTGCAGAATTCCTGAAATTGTTTAAAATGATTTTAAAAATTAAGGCTGATCAACACATTTAAACATGGACTCTATTTCAATGTTCATGCAGAATGATAGCTTTAATAATCAAAATTACTACAAATTTTTTTTAAAGCACACTTCAGTATGGTGTTCTTTACTCCATAAGAATACTTCCAAAGTAAAATATTTGAAAAGAAATGTCATGAACATTTGACTTTCCTAATGAAATTCTATTTTCAGTATGTAAAGTTGTAAAGTATACCCATCAATTAATGTAAAGTGATTGTGGCTGCCATATCCTCTGGAATGTATGCTTATTTCCAATATGAATATCAAATTATCCCCCAAATCAAGCGTGCCCTGACTTTCTGTATTTTTAATCATAAAAGAGAAGGAAAAAATTCAGCAAATACAGCTCAGTTGTATTTTACTTGCTCTTAGTTTTATTTCAAAGGGTTGTTTTTTTTAAATGAACTAGATCTGGCAATTTTAGCTACCATTAGAGGATATAAGATATCAATAAACAGATACCATATAATTATTATGCATATATATATATATATATATATATATATATATATATATATACACACACACACACACACACACACACACACACACACAAATTCAGTATCATTCCCAAAAGCTTGTGAAAGAAAGTGAGAACCTCCATCATTTTGCTCACCAAAATCTGCTGGATTGTGATATGTTGGACAATTTAAACCCAAATCTCTCAAATAAGGGACTAAATTTAATACTTTTCCACGGTAAATGCATTGCCCTTGGCTCAAGACATAGAGCTGAAATAAAGAAAAACAAGAAATGATGAAGAATACTCCTGTCTAGCTTCAGAATTATGATATGCAATCTTATTACAAAAATATTATTTAAGTTAAAGGAGAGACACTGACATAGTTAAATCTCCAGGATGTTAATGTACTTACTAAGAACCAATAAGATTTTACAGTATATAATATCTGTTTCCAGGTTTAACTACTGGAAGATATTTTTTTATTTTAATTTATTAATCTCTCTCCTCATATACATAAAAAACATTTATTTTTCTCATACCTAGCCTTGTTGTACAACATTTTCATTTCAACATTTTTCTCAGGTGTAGCTTTAAATTAGCCCTAAACTTTAACTAACAAAATTATTTGTTACATATGTTAGCATGCATGCACACTAGGGCTAATTCAGATCTAATTTCTAATCCCATTTTTCTCATCACAAATTTCCTAAATACACAACGTCTTCAATTTCTCAACAATTTCCTAATTTCATTATATTATATTTTAATGGCTGACAAATTTCAATATGTTAAATACTTTTTTCTTATTACAAATTGATTACTAATTTTGGTATGAATTGTTAAACTATAATTGTTAAACTTATTGGCAATCTACTCCAAAGACTTACAGATATGTTTACCCTGTCTTCACAGATCTACATTCAGTCACCTTCATGAAGAGTTATGATATGTCTGATTTATCTCAATAAACAGATTGAATGAACAGCATATTGTCATCAAGCAAAGGAGTCATTCTGCTTATTTGAAGAAAACCATCCATCAAAATAAAGGATGTCTTAATTACATCTGCATAAACCTATTACATATCATATGTGGAACATAATAAACTCCGAAGTCTGAGAAAGGTTGAGTGAGAGTTAAAAAGCTGCATGAGTGGAAATGTGGGTGAACTTAGCAATATCTCGTGTTTTATTCCTGTGCTAAAGATTGGACTGGTAGATCTTCAAGGTGGCACTTCTCTTTCTTGATATCTGACCAAAGCAACCTTTTCAAACCTCCTCTCCTTTATGAAATGAAACATCCTCACTTATATTCATCAAAATGATATAGCTATTTTCACTCAGCTGCTATGGTTCTGAGATCTGATGAGCAAAGCAGATTGGCCCTGCCTAGATTTTTTGCAAAGGCAGAATATTACATCAAAGTGCTGCAGTGGATTTCTATGGGGCAAACCACCTTATTAAAACAAATTACTTTAATATTTAGGAATGATTTATATACTCCTAATAAATGCATTTACTACAATGTAAGCATTTTGAAGGAATAGCTGGCAGAGGATAACTTCTCTATACCACTCTGTTCTAAGTGATTCCCAAAGAAATTCAACTGCATTGACTCATCCTTTTCTGCAGGTGACGTATTACAGGTTTCCTCTGTGAATGATTGTTAAATATGATGCTAACATGAAGGATCTTTTAATAATGAGGAAAGGCCTTTTCAAGACCAGGATCCAAGTGGCTATGACACAGTGTGTACATATACATGTCTTTCAGCTCTATGATTCTACCTGATCGAAAAGTTCGAAGAGTTTGGCACTGGGCTGATGGATAGTGCAGATGATGGACCGGCCACCCTGGGCTAAAGCCTTCATGAGGGAGACAACTTGAAAGCAAGATGCACTGTCCAGGCCACTATGGAAAAAAATGAAGAAAACACAGTTTGCCCACTTTGTTCTTTTCATATCCAAAATTGATCTTGAAATGAGAAGTTTGAATGAAAGGCAATTTTTACTTATTCCCGCCCCCCACCCCCGCCACACACACTTTAGCTTGTCCTTTACAAGGTTGCTAATACCATATTCTAATACCATATTGTACCAAAATGTAGCCTTGATTACATCATTTATCAGTGATGCTTATTATATATTATTATGCTTATCACATATTATCACGAATCATCACAAAATCTCCAGAACTGTAAAGCCTACAAACTTGAAATCTGGCACATATGTTCCTCTTGATTTCTAGCAAAGGTGGTATTCAGCAGGTTCTGACCAGTTCTGGAGAACCGGTAGAAGAAATTTTGAATAGCTTGGAGAACTGGCAAATACCACTTCTGACTGGAGATTTTACAGTATCCTTCCCCTGCCACGCCCACCAAGCCACGCCCACAGAACCAGTAGTAAAAAAAATTGAATCCCACCACTGACTTCTAGGTGCTCACTAAGAAAGGATTTTTCGAAATGACCACCAGAGCTTTAGTATTTCGTATATTATTATTAACAGGCTCTGATGCTAAGGAGTTCTACTCCCCCTCCCCACTTGAAAAGAAATCTGTTCCAAATACAAAACACAAGCAGAGGAGAGGAGTTTCAGTTTCAGAGCACCAACCAGCTTTAGTACGGAACAATTGAGCTAAGCCATACCCAGACTCCTTACTCACACAGCAAATACTGCTTCAGTTTCCAAACAGCCCTCAATCCTCTCACACACTGACAGTATACTAGCCAGATGAATACTGATGGATGCTGGTCGGCAGAGGCAGAATTGCTTTCCCTTATTTTCCTCCCCCAAAACTAAGCCCGACCATATGGTTTTGTAGCGAAGCACGGGTATCGAGCTAGTAATATTATATGTGATACATTTTCACATATCTCAGCACATTCTATGTTGGAGTGTCATGAACCCAGAGCAAATTAACCTCTCATTTTGGGAGGTTTTGAAAAGGCTGGCATATATTCAATTAATCAAAGTTATTTGATAGGAAAGTACTTTTGTCAAATAGTACTTTCTGAATACAAATGAGATATTTGAAAAACAGAAATACAGAAAATTCACATGATTCATTTTGTAAAGCAAAAATTATTCAATAAAAACGATGGCCAAGCCTGTAATTATTACAATGCTTCCAGCAACCTCTAGATCACACTAGATTGGGTGCTACCTGCTATCTCTGCTTATGCTGGTCCTTTTTGTAGAGGAGAAGCAAAGCCTGGACTATAGCTACCAACATTTTTATTTCCTTGTTTTTTACATTTATTGGGTGCCCTGAGAGCTTCTTGAAAATGTAGGAGGTTGCCCCTTTGCTTTAGAGTTTGTTGCATGGTCGTTTTTTCTATTTTAAAATAGGGAGATTGGCAAGTGACAAGAATATGTCCATGAACCTCCTTGTATTCTCAGTGCCAAATAGTTCGTTGTTGTTGCATCTGCTGTTGTTATTACTAGGGTTGTTTAAAAAAAACTTGGGACCAACTCATGAAGCCATGGTGATCAATGAATATAGGCTAGTATTTCACAATCCACATACACTGCACTTAATGAAGAGATAAAGGATATATTAACCCAGTAATACATACTGACATTGTAGTTATCTGATAGGAAGGCAAGATTTTATTTTCAAATAATCACTATGAGTGGATAGAGATGCAAACAATTGCAGAGTGTATTCTGAAATATATGGATGTTTCTAGCCTAAGGACTAGCTGTTGCTTGGGAGGACCAGCTATCCTGTAAATTTAACCTTTTAAAAATGAAATCTAGTTTCTTTCTTTCTTTCTTAACCATCCAACTACTTATTCTCCTTTACTTTCTCATTCTGTCTCCTTTTTTCCCTTTCTTTCATGCTGTAGCTATTCTACTTTGTCCCATCCCCATCCTGTTTTCCCATTTTGTTTTTGACACCTACAAGGAAGTGTCTGTTCCTGTGTATGAGTTATTTATGTTTGATAGAATGAAAGCTAACATATAAAGATGGAAATCCATGAATTTTATAACTCAAGTATCTTGTTTTACAGATAATTGAACAATATTGATGATTAATTAAATGCATAGGATTAAGTATGTCAATTTGGTCTTTGATTTTAGCATCAACATATTTTTTATTTGATTCTGATTTACATGCACATATTTATTGGACTTATTTAGGCAAGTTTCCAGTATTGGTTTCATCTGGTGTTGACAATCCTAGGTTGACACGGTGAGGAAGCTGAGCATTACACCAAATTTTTATCTGTATTTTAGTATATTTTTCTAATCCTCCCTTTGGAGGGAAAGAACGCCTTAAATTCAGGATTATATTCAACTTGATAAAATACATAAAAGCACAAAGTGAATTTCCATAGTCAAAGGTCTCTTTTTTTTTTAAATAGATCTGTTTAAAATTTAAAATTAAAACATCAAGAGAATACTTTTAATTTTTTAATACTTTAATATTAAAAATAATAAATGTTTAAAGCGTATTTGTAATAATTGTCAGCCTTTCACTCCAGAACACAAATTACCTGGTAGGTTCATCAAAAAACATAACTGGTGGGTTGTTCACTAATTCCAAAGCAATCGCAAGACGCTTTCTCTGCCCTCCTGAAAGGCTTCCAGTACGAGTACTGGCACACGACAGCAAACCCAAAGCTGTCAGGATCTCATTCACCTGTGAAGAGGAACAACATAAGGGAAACTTCGGTAATAATTTCTGTAACTGTATTCATATCACAACAGTGATCTCTGAAACATAAATATCTGAAACTAGGGAAGTGGATAGGTAAATATTTTATTAAAAAATCTAATATGCCAGCTCTAAAGTATTAGGAAGCACATTGTTTAATATTTAGTTAAACATAGTTTAACAGTTTGGAAGTTGCTATTTCTAATTATTGTTAAGGTCATAAGGAAACAAGACTAAGTAGTCATTTTGGATGAAAACTATGACCCTGTTCTACTATTATCCATGTATTATACACTCTGCTAAGGATCTATTTTACATTTATTACAAGCCCATTTCTCATTTAAAAACCGGATGAAAGATTGGGATGACCAAATTTGGACTGCAAAAATGAATGTCAGAATTTCAGCAAAGCGCCTTTGTATTCCTTTACTTCCATCTTTATCGGCTGAGATATAGTTTAGTCCATGCACATCTTCCACAAATATCCATTTAATTTCTTTCTAAGTAAGTATGTCTGGATCTTCAGCATCTCTCCTAATTTTATCACATAACAACCACCCTATTGAGTCAATTCGGCTGAAAGAGAGCGATGGCCTAAAGTTGCCCACTGAGTTTGATAAATGATAAACTTTGGCTCTCCTGATCTCTTATCACTATACCAGACAGGCTCTCAGGTGAAAAGCATTTTTTACCACCAGCTCAAATCCTAAGATCCAGCTGAGAACTCAAATTTCATGTTCAATGAAGAGTTCTCTGTCATTGCACAAATTCTTCTATATGTACATTTCCCATATTTCTTCCATTCAGTCTTTTCAACCTACTGATTTGAATTACATAAGTTATATGCAAACTGGATATCATTTGCATTCAACATTTCATAAATCTGGTCAAAAAAAGAAAAAATATTCTATAAAATCTTCTAAATATACTACTTTTACATATACAAATAATACTTTCAGATATAAAAAGCATATTGTGTTTTCTTCTAAAAGAAAATAAGTATCACATTTTAAGTCGGAATACAGTAATACACATACCATTTCTCTCCTGCCTTCATCTTTTTCTTGAAGTTTCAGATGGGCAGACACCTGAAATAGTAGAATATTATACTTATTAAGTCAATTTATTTGGGGGGAGGATGTCAGCCATGCAAAGTACTTACCCAATTCCCATAATACAGTATAGGTCTTTTGAAACTAATGTAGCCGCTTATTTAAAATACATAGCTATTACTGTATAGAAGCCAGGAAATAAATCCTTGAGAGATGAAATATTATCAATAGTTTCAGTTAGGATCAATATTTGTTAGAGCAATGTGAGAAGCTTGCAGGTTGCCAGATCTGCCATCACATCGCTTCAGCCCTGCTTTGCTTCAATGGTATCCTGCCATAAAAGTGGGGAGGGAGTAGTTAGGGGATATAGGGAAGGGGAATAACAGGATGACAAGAACCAGAGATGTCAGCCCGGAACAGAGCCTGGCCGATCCAAAGACACAAGCCAAAGCAGAATGTGAACACCCACCAAAGAGGTGCCAAACTTTAGGACTGTTACTGAAACACCCAGTTTGAATGCCATTAGACATTGACAAAAGGACCAAGGGGACCAAGAGCCCAGGAGACCAGAAAAGCACTGAGTTTACACGGGAATATTCAGATCTGGCCTTGCTTATACTGTAACACCTTTTGGCTTTATTAAAAGTATATATGTCCCTATAAATGGAGTGGAGGGTCTTTCTTCCTTAAATGCCCAAGCTGGCCTGACACAGATGTTCATGAGGAGGAAAAAAATCCATCTTTATCTGAACCATCTCTTCAAGAAACTACTTGGAAACATTTGATCTGAAGATTATACTTTTGTTATTATAATTCTGATTAGAAAAATAATATTTTCCAAAGCTGTGAATGCATTTATGTATACTACACACACAAACCCCCGCCAAATATTTGATTTGATTCTGTTGCAGTTCAAGAGACCTAATCACATAGTTCAAGACCTGCAAGTTTTGGTATATTTTTAAGGTTGAGATACACATATCTTTGTAAGATTTATCTGTTCATTTCAGCATCTGTAACACAATGCTCAAAAAGACCAGGTTTTAATTTCAAATTCAATGCTTGCTTAGAAAGGACATATTCGATCAACAATATAGAATCAAGTAATTTTGATTATTTCTGAGACTCCCAGCACGATAGAGAAAATGACGAAGAATTGGATATGCATAGAATACCATGAAAATAGACTGGCTGAAAAATACTCCAAAGTCATTCCCCCCCCACCCCCCCCAATTTAATGAATCAATTGACAAGCAATATCTATTCTGCAGTTCCTGCAAAATTGAAAAACCACAATAATTTACTGAACAGACTGGCTGGAACATCCTGGGGTGCTGATGCTAACAGTCTATGAACAACAGTTTGATTTATTTCACAGGTAAATATTGTGTCAGTGTGTGGCTTAACAGCACCCAATGGTTGATGCACAAATCTGCCGGACAACATATATCATCTCTGGCACATTGCATTCCACTCCTGTGCACTAGTTACTGGTACTTAGCAATATCATACCACCCCACATTAGAAGACAATAAGCTCTCAATCAGCTATGGTCAAGGATATTGAATAACAAGGCCCACCCTATTCACCAGGATTCACCAGGCACAGCCCAACCCGAGACTGAAATCCCGTAGGCCAGCTATTCACTTAACATGAACCAGAATAGAATGCCAAGAGTGAGAAATGATCCAAGGTATCTTCTTGTGTGGCCTAACCATTAGTGATCCCTCTACCAAACCATCTGGTTTTGACCTGACTTGTTTTGTTCAGTCGAGATTGTACAGAATTAGGTATGATACTGGAAGAAGTGCCTCTGCCCTGCATCAGTTGGGATGGAAAGATTCCCCTTGTTGTGATTGTGGTGCTGATATGCAAACTATTAAACATAATTTGCAAGATTGCCCATGATGTGCATTGTCTGGTTCCCTAGAAGATTTGCATGAACAATGCCAGAGGTGATCGCCTTGATAGCTGAACTGGGCATCCAGTTATGAGGCCATTGCCATACCCCCTTAGAAGTTTTACTTATAATTACGTGGACTGTGTCATGTTCTCATTGTATGCTAAATAAGTAATGTGCATCATATATACTGATGGCAGAATGTTTGAAACACAATGGCTATTTAATACTAGCCACATGCAATGAAAGCAACACCCTTTCTCTTGTCTTTCAAATATAAACAAAATGGATAAACTCATCTTTAGTGTTATGGGAGAAATAGGATTTTAGCATACAGTGAAATAGAATAATACAGATAGTGGTAATCTGCCTTGAATGTACTGATTTGGGGCAGCATATAAAAGCTTTAAAATATGCAAGTAAATAGCAGGATTCCAGTTGTTTCTGTATTCGCTCTCTGTGAAAGTCCAGATTTTGTGATTTATAATATAGCTTCATAAAATCACCAGTTCTAGCTCATATATTCCTTTCTTCCAACAAAACTCTGTATATAGCTTACCATTATATCCTTTCCTACCTCCCTCCCTCTTTCTTTCATGCTCTTTGATGCGTAATAATTACGGCATAACCCAGGAAGAAGCTAATTCAGAAAAATGAGAACTGTATGATGTATAGATGTGGTTGCTATTATTAATAACCATACCATCATAGCTTCCTGGACAGTAAGATGTGGAAGCAGCATGTCATCTTGCATAATGTAACAAGACACTTTGCGGAAAGAACGCAAATCACGATGTTGCCCATTGATGAGAATTTCTCCTTTCATCCCAGTCTCTCTGAAAGCAAAAGAAGAAACAGGCTATTTTTTTCCCCATGCCTTTAGATCAGATTAATCAGGTAAACCTGCACACTCAGGTTTTTCACAGTACAAGAGTCAGTTCTTTTTTAGCATCTGCTAGTAAGTATGAGGTGTGAAATAATTATTATCAGAGTCTGAGTCTACAGTTTAAGGGTTATTATGGAAAAGCACTCCGGTCACAAATTGTATTTATCAAGTTTGCACAAATGTAACTATCATATGCAAACTAACTCTCCTAATAGCACACAGTGTTGGATTCACATCTCTGAAGTTCCTGAAAGACTAATACATTTAGGCTGAAAATACCTTCATAATTAAAAGTTAAGTGTATTAAGCCAGAGTTCCCCAACCTTTCTGCCTTTGCTGCAAACAGAGCATGCCTGCATGTACTCACCCATTGCTCACACAAATGGGGATGTGCACACACACACACACATACACACACCACATATACTTGCCCATTTCCACAGCCCGGTTACAAACAAGCTCAGTGCCCATTAGTGGGTCACAGCCCAGAGGTTGGCAACCCTTGCATTAAGCTTCATGGCCAAGAATGGATAATATTTTTTTCCCGTATAATTGTTAGAATGGCAGTACGTGTTGCAAAGGCTGTCCCACAGATCAGAGCTATGGATGAGATGCCAGATCAAGTGCTCCTAGAAAGTAAATCATCACAGAGGAAGTGTCCAAACTGCTTATTTAAAGCGAGAGGTGGAGACCTCCAATCTTTCACCCTGATTCCAGCTATTACACCTCTGGGTTTTTCTTTTTTACACAGAAACCATTGTTAATATTTAAAGCTGACGAAGAAATGCAGCCTATATTTTCAAATATATTGTTTTCTCACACAGTAACATCTCGGCAACACACTTAACATCTTGAGAATATTGGTCATAAAAAGATGCCGGTGTTTGTACACTTCCTCACCTGTATCCTGCCAGAAGATTCATAAGTGTCGACTTCCCAGCTCCAGAAGGACCCATAATTGCCACCAGTTCGCCACTACTAAACTTCCCAGAAATTCCTTTCAGCAAAGTCTTGAAACCTATAAAAATGAAAAGGAGGGAGAAAGAGCGCTAAAATTTAGAAAACATGGGTCTCTAAAATAGGTAGGCACCTTGTTAAAGCCATAGACCAGCTCAAAAACAAACCAAACATACAAAATCAGAGTCAGAAAGCAAGTAAAAGACCGTAATGAAACCCATTAATTACAAAACTGGTTTAGTCAAGGTGCAATCCATTTTACAAAACCTAGCTATTTTAATAGGAATAAAATCTTAATCATGTTAAAATAAATAAAATGACATTGATCAGACAGTAGTAGTAATTGTAAATAATATTAGTTATAATTTTTCTTGGCTAATATACCATATTTTTGGACTATAAGATGCACATTGGCTTTAGAGGAGGAAAACATTTCTAATATTTTTCTATGATTTTCCAATAAGTTTGTATCAGCTCTAGACTGGTTAAAACAATCTTTCAGTTGTTACAGAAAAAGTTTTTTATTGTAGGCCTAAACATTATGGTGGTCTAGATCAGGGGTGTCAAACTCGATTTCATTGAGGGCCACATAAGGTTTGTGTTTGACCTTGAGGGCAGGGCGGGGCCAGGGGCATGGCCAGTCCTAGAGGGAGACAGAGATAAGCGCACCTTGCCTCCCCACAGCTCTAATTCTTAAAATTTGGGCATGCTGGGGGAATCGGTACCTGAAGTGAGAGGAGAGCGCAGGCTGAATGGGCGGGGAAAGAGTACTGGACTTTCAACATTTGTGCGAGGAACCCGGGAACTTAAGCAGCAGCATGTTGCATGCCTCAACAAGCCAGCTGGTGGCCACTGGGGTCTGCAACCAGAGTATATCTGGTCAGCCCAAGAGGCGGGGAGAGGCTTGGAATGGTATGTAGGAAATCATCCTGTCTCTGCAGCATCCGCCCACCTGCACCATCCCACCTTGCCATGAGTGACGTTGAATTGGGCATGCCCGCTCAGTCATATGACATCCCTCAGCCACACCCACCCAACCGGTCACTAGGAGGAACCAGTTGTTGTTGTTTTTAAACAAATTTTATTAATTTTAAAGACAAACAAAACAAAACATCATTAAACATTAAAAACATAAAACCTCTTTCCATTATAAATCTTTACAAGGCAGGTAAACATTATTTTATATCGCATACTTCTAATTTACCCCATTTCCATGTAGACACATAAATTCCCTTTAACAAATTTCACATTATTTCTCTTTACTCTTATTCAATCACATTTCTTTTCTATATTTATCTACTATTAAATCATCATATTTATACTTCCCTCTGACTTGTTTACAATTATTCTCATCTGGCATTCCTCCGAGATTTTATTAATTCTCAGTTAAACATACACACACAAAACATAAAACTTCCTTTTAGAAAGTAGCTTGGCCCCAGATTACCTCTTTTTGTATGGACTTCAATTAAATTCATGCTCTTCTTATATACCATTACCTATCTTGTTTACCATTCTATATCTTCTATATAACTCCTCCCCGCTTTTCCCTCTTCTTAATTCTATTTTATATATTTCATCTTGCTTTAAGTCAATATTTTTATATCTTTTGTCCATTTTTTTCCATTTCCATTTATCTCATTCCCAATATAAAAAAAGATAATTTCTCCTGAAATCACTAATCAGAGTATGATGCCTTTCTATCATTCCCCTAAATTGAAATTTAAAATAACACCTAAATCCCAATCTGATTCTGCTTAGTACATTCTACTATTTCAAAAACAGATACTACAATAATAAATCTATAATAACATCAGCACATTAGCCCGTTAAACTCTATAATTAAACTAATATTTTAAACATTTCCTTTAATATTTTATTAAAACTTAAAATCATTCATTATTAAATGTTTTAACATTGTACTTTAATATTTTAATTCTTTTATTGAATCTTATAAAATTCTAATTTTCTATTTTTAATACAAATACTACAATACTATCATGTGTACTTTGCAGAATCCTTTTTTTTTTTAGATCATACATTACCCTTTGTCCCTAAATTTTTTTTTCTTTTTCCCATCTTGTTTTATACCTTTGTAACTTTTTCCCCCCTTTTCCCTTTCTTTCTTGACCCAGCTAGACTTTTTACCCACTCCTCTCCAAACCTCCGCCTTCTTGGCTTCCCCTCTCTGTTGTATTTTTCTTTCCTTTTGCTTTCTAGCATTATATTGATTTTGCATCTTATTTTTCTCTTTCATAGATATTTTTTTAAGTCTTAAGTCCTTCCTTTTCCCTCCTCTCTTTCTCCTTTCTTTCTTAATCAAACTTTTTAGCTCATTAAAAATGGCTTCTTCTTCCTCCGCTTCTTCCAGCTGTTGTTGAATTTGCTGACACATAGCAAGCGCCATTTCTAAAAAACAAAGGGCTTCTCCCATAGCATCCTTGCCTTCTTTCCTTATTTTTACATATTGTTTTCTTAGTTCATTGAGAGATAGAGCCATTATAAACTTTTTCTTCTTCTTTTTCTTTATCTTCTTCTTGTTATTAAGCCAATCAAAATATTTCCAAACTTAAAACAATTCCCCAAAGTCCCAAAGTCATCAAACAGTCCAGGCAAAGCACAAAATTCTTCCTTTTGCAGTTTCTCTTCCTGGGGTAATGTCAATTAGGGAAAAAAACCCAATCTGTATTTTAAATCCTTTTTGCAATTAGCTTCTAGTCTCTTAATCTTCAAGGCATCTCCTCCAACAAAGTCTTAATATAATTTTTTTTTCCAAACCTCTCCCTTCCCACTTGTAACAAAGGGCTTTAAATGTTTACCTTCTATTAGAAAGCAGATTTTCCATGTCCATTTGTTAGTTCCATAAGGGAGGGAGAGTGACTTTCCCTTTCAGCACTTTCATTTGCCGCTTTAGAAAACCTCCATTGGGAACATCCAAAAAAAAAATAGTAGTTTTCAAGGTATTAAACATGTCCTTAAAGTCCCGGTTCAGCCAAGAAAAACTTTCATTTTGTAACTTCCTCCTTCTTCCTCCTGCACATTCTTAAGCCAGTTGCTGGCTTCTTTGTGGCGGCCATTGAGACCGCCGCTCCACCGCCTTGAGAAAAGGGGTTTTTTGCCGGCTGGGGAGGAGGTCTGCGATACTCCTCAACCCCTGTCCGGATCCCCCCTATCTTCGGCTGCCTCAACAGGGCAGCCTTATCCTCCAGATCCGTTGGGATCGGAAGCACCAAGACGGCTAGCACGGCAGGGATCGCGGAGAATCGTGAATCCCTGCCGTCACCGAAGCCTGGCAAACCGGAAGTCCGGAAGAACCAGTTGTTAAATTACTTGAATCCCACCACTATGTAATTTGATGGAAAAATGTAAAAGGAGAAGGATATGGAATAAATGAGAATATTTGTGTCTGGTAAACACGTTTTTGCATGATCAGTTTTGTAGTACAACAGTAATAGAATAAGTCCCCCAAGAATTACAGTCTATCATTAAGGAAGAAAAATATTGAGATGAAGAAAATACAGAGAAGAATGAGTTGAAAACCAATTTTTGTGTATTTTCCCTACTTGAAGATTTAGGAGATTTCTAAAGTGATTTTAGAAAGCTGGATGGCATTTATCAGACAGCATGCTGTGACAGAATTATTTTCTTTTTCATTGTTTTGCATCATTACATTTTCCCTGCCTCTTAATCATAAACCAAAGTTAGCTGAACAAGCTAAAAAGAAGCACCAGCCCATTGGCTAATAACTGCAAAAGGCACAATCTGCCAGGTTGTCAGAGAGACAGTGCCTTTTTTCATTATTGTTTGGGAAGTGCAAAACATAAGCGTGTAAATATTCCTGCCACCACAAAGATATTAACTTCAACACCAATAAACATACTTGGATGATGATTATTTAGAAGCTTCCTTGATAATTTTAGCAAAGGTTGCATTTTAATTTGGTGAATAGATTCATGTAATGAATACAATAAAGTATCTAGATCTTGAATAGGCATAAAGGCATTTATATTTAGGATTGTGTATGTGTGCTGTTTGAAGGAAAATCTATCTGGTTTAGTTCCAAGCTGGGTGAAAGACTCTGGAAACAACATGGAGGTTAACTGGAAAGGAAGTTTATTGAACAGAACCACAAAGATCGCGTGTAGTTCTGGGTCAGCTAAACCACAGGTTGAATGAGTGGATGGATCTTTATAGGTTTACTGTGACTTTGAAGTTTGAATTGTTCTGGTGTTGTGCAATGAAGGGGCTTGTGTTCTGAAAGGGTGTTGGGCAATTCCTAATTGTGGCTACTGGCTTTTGTCTTGTGTTGGATCTTGGGTGAGGGGCTGCTTCTAATCTACCATTTTGCCTTTGTTAGCTGTCAAACTTTGCTGCAAGGAGTTTTGAAATATCCTGTCTTGAATAGGCCGCTGCTGGCAGTATTTGCTTTGCTTATGAATAGTGCCATCTATATAGTTGGCTTCTTCTTTCAATAAGTCCTTTATCTCCTTAAGTACTAGCACTTCAAATAAAAAAGCAGAAACAAGGAATGATTTCAAGATAGCTTCCAAATCTCAAATGTTCTCAATTTACAATAGTTCATTTGGTGACCATTCAAAGTTACAATGGCCCTGGAAAAAGTTAGTTATAACTATTGTTCACACTTACAATTGTTGCAGAATCCCCAAGGATTTACATTTGGGTGCTGGCTCACATGTATGACAGTCGCAGTGTGCCAGGGTCATATGGTCATCTTTTGCGTTCTTCCTGGGAAGCCAGATTCACTTAATAACCTTGTTACTAATTTAATAACTGTAGTGATTCACTTAACAACTATGGCAAAAAATAATTGTAAAATGGGGCAAAGTTCATTTAACAAATGTCTCACTTAACAACAGAGATTTTTGGGCTCAATTGTGATAATAACTCGAGGACTATTTATAAAAAGGGGAAAAAACTCAACCTATCCTTCAGCTTCACAACCCATCCAAGACAACATTCCAAAGTTTGTTCACCTTTATTTTGGCCACTTTGTGAACAGATTATCTTTGAATCAGTCCAAATCACATTTTAAAGAATCTG